CTTTTAGAAAGCTAATTCAAAGGCCTACATTTCATATGTTTACCAATTCTCCAAATTCCATCGTTATTGTGTTAAAAAATCATCATCTCTGGAGTGCTGAGGAATGATGCGAGATTTGGACTAAAGAAGAAGAGTTATCATTGTGTCGCAGCACTATGTCGCAACACATTTTGTCCAGAATCGGCCACGGCGTAGCACAGTGCCAGGGCACATCATGACAATTAGGAAATTTTCTTCCATTTTTTATTAGGAAAATGGGGTTAAGAGTCCTAAACTAAATAGAATTAAGGAAAATAAAACCCTAACCCTTGTGGGATATAAATAGAAGTCTTTTAGCATTATTTTGGGGATTCTTTTGGGAGAATAAGAGAAGAAAAACCTGTAGAGAAGAAAAGTGTCAAAATTTCTAGAGCTTTGATTCACAATATAGGAAAGTTCTTCTTGTTTCTTTCTTATAAACTCATGTTGATTATTTTAATAAAGATAATTGTTTCTTTCATATTGATTATAAACTAAATTTATTCTCTAGGGTCAAGATGTAGCCTAATCTCTTGATTATGTGTTGATTTATTTATATTGATTTTTATTAAGATTTCTTCCTAAGTTTTATTATTATGCTTAATGCTTTTGATTATTAAGGGCCTAAGAATTGAATGAACTAATGGACTAGGTTAAGATCGAGAGATGATACTTAGTTGGTCTACCATTGTAAAACCATAGGTTGAGCGAACGCTAGAAATAAGTTACCACGACTTGTGAGGTTTTAGTGAACTCCATAGAGCGTAATGATCTCCAATTGCTTAAATCTGATTAGAGATAATTCGGGTTAGTAATTATGAGTTAATTTGATAATTGTTAGAGAGAAAGTTATTAGAAATTTAGGGAATTTGACCTGTAGGAAGAACTTAATAAAATTAGCATAAGTGTTTGATACATATGAATAAGAGATGGTGTGAAATCTATGTCCTAGGTCTAATCATCTTGCTCTAAACCCAAAGATTTATTTGAGTTATTTTCTTTTTAGTTTTCTTTTAAATTCAATTGTTAATTTAGTTTAGATTTTCCTTGATAAAAACTGTGATTAATCAAATAGTAATTAGATAGTAAATTTTGGTAATTGATAGTAGTAATTCCCTTAGGTTCGATATCCATATTTATACACTTTATTTCTTGCACGATTTCGTACACTTGCAAAAATCCCCAACAACTGTCGCCAGCAGTGGTCTTGGGTGGTTGGAGGTATTTTGTTAAACTTTAAATTTTGTTGTTAGGTGTTTTAGCTAAATTCTTAAATATAGGCGATTAAAAATAATTATTTAAATAATAATAATAATAAGGAAGGGCAATTCAATAAAAGCTTCTGTCAATAATATTTTATTCTTCGCAACCAAACATCTTAATTATTTATACCCATTAATCTAACCAAACATATTGATATAACATTCCCCCATAATCTTCAAGGTAATCTATCTCACAGGAAATCCTACTTTTCAGTAATAAAACATTCTTCGAACCAAACACACCCAAAGAGTTAACTAGTGATAATAAATTATAGGGTCAGTTTGAAAGGCTCAACGGTCCACAAAATAGCCTAAATCATTTCCTTAGTTATTTAAATTCTAGGATTTCGCCTCAAGTGGTTATCAAATGAATTCTAGAGTTTGTTGAGATCGCAAAAATGTCTATGAAAAATTCACAAAATCTTCTCTAAAATTTTTTAGACTAACCAAACTTTCATACCACATATCAGTAGGGTTTCAAACTAGACATACTGTCATCCTTAAGCCGAGGCAAAATTTAATGTCTTCTAAAGGCTACATGTTATTATAATCATGTTAATATCATCGACATACAAATTAATCCAAGACTAAACAAAGCAAAAATTTCCTCCTAAATCCATAAACTCAAAATTATTGAAAGATATTCCCTTATCCCAACCTAAAATCAACATTATCTTCAATATAAATACAGTAAAACCTCTCTATAGTGATACTCTATATAAGAATAACATCTATATAGTCATAAAAAATTTTGGTCCCAACTTGAGCTAGTTATAAATAAGAATAAATTTCACATTATAATAAGTTATAATTTTTCTAGGTCCCGTCTTAAAAACTTGCCTCTACATAGTAATAGTTATATGTATATTACAAAAAAAAAAATATTCTATGTTACATTAAATGTTTAAAATGAAATAATATATTTATCTAAAGTTGTTTGAGACAATGATTTATGCTTTAAAGTTGTTACTACATCTTTTCTCTTGCAGGTACATAATAAGTCGTTAGCATGGATACCTTATTGAAGCCAAAATATTTCTAGCTTTTGAAGCATGTTTAAAGCTTCTTAGCACAAAACTTTTGGTATTTTCATACTATCATCCTTAAGATTATTTCTTTCTTCTTCTTGTCTAATTCCAATAATGATTTCTTCTTCAGTTAAAGCATACATGACTTGTTGCTCATTTAGATGATTGAGGAAGATATTAACATCCATTTGATTAGTGTAGTGAAGTTGTCGAATTTTATCACTCAATTCTGTAATGACTCTTTGATATCCATTTTCGTACTATCCTAATGCTACTAAAACAATGAATTGAAATCCTAATACTACTAAACATGAATTATAAAATAAGAAATGAAAATAATAATTTTTTAATCAAAAAAATAATTATTGTAACTACATCTTTATTAAGTTATAACCTCCTCATAGTAATAAATTTAGTTGGTCCTAACATTATAACTATAGAGAGGTTCTACTGTATATATCAAAATGGGTGTTAAAAGCAAATAATTTGGTGTATTTTAATTGATGAGATCTCTTATAATAGAGTGTGATGTATACGAAGAAACAAATCTACAAGACATTTTTGGGATAATTATAAATTATGTGCTCGAAAAAAATGCTAGACATTCAGGTTACACGTTCATTTTTCTAATATAGGATTCCATAAATGTAAATGGGTTTAATTTATTAAAATGTAAATCAAATTCGAACAAGTCAAATAATAATAAAGCTCAAGATCTTATTGTTCTTACATTGCTGATCTATGTGCTAGATTATATAAGATTATTTTAACAATGGAAATATTTAGTTTTCTTTACATTGATTTTCATAAAACAAAAACAAAAACAAAAGATTTTCCCTTAATTTACTTTTTGTTGGTTCGATATAATATTATTAATTGAATATAAATTTTATTGATTGTATCTATACAAAAAGTTTTTCACAAAATCTAGAGGGAATTTTTGATGAATTTAATACGGACATTCTGAATCTCCAACCATATAAAATAATCCTTGTACTTAGGGGGTGTTTGTCTAAGCTTATAAGCTGGTCAAACTTGCTTATAAGCTCTAAAATTAAGCTGACTTGTTTGTTTATAATTTTTTTGAGCTTATAAGCTAAAAAAAAAAATAAGTTGGGGGGGAGGTACTTTTTTTTTTGGGCTTATAAGCACTTTACTTATAAGCTAGTTTGACCAAGTATATTACCATATTATCTTTATTTAATTTTAAAATTTCATAGTATGTCATTTTTTAATGTAGTATATTTTTTAGTAATTTTATAATAAAATGTACTTATAAGCCACATTTTACCAAACACGTCAATTACTTATCAGTCACTTATAAGTACTTTAACCAAACACGTAATTACTTAAAATTTCAAATGCTTATAAGTTAATTTTAGCTTATAAGCAATTGTTGCTTATAAGCTAATTTTCATAAGCTCAGACAAACACCTCCTTAAAATATTGATTCATCTCTAAAATTTTAATTCCCCAGTAACCCTAAGGGGGCGTTTGGTTCAGGAATATTATATTACTGGGAATATTGGATTACTAGAAAGATAGATTACCTTGGAAGATTATTGGAAATCTTTAGGAAAATGTGTTTGGTTAGTTGGTGGGTTTGTTATATTAATATGTTTGGTTATGGGGAATAAATTGGTGGGTATGTTATTTAAATTACTAAATTGTCTCCCTTGTAAATATTAATATAATATTATTTTTATTATTAATTTTTGAATAATTTCTTTTAACCCCCAATATTTCAGATTTAGCTAAAACACCCATACTTATATAAAACATTAATTTATGATGAAATCACCCCCACCTCTTGCCGCCGCCTGCTGCCACTGCGAACCATCGTCGGATGCCTCCGAAAGTCCCGATGAGTACTTCACCGTGACCAAGAGGCTCTGATATGGTCGTTTCTGGCCATATTGATGGCCGAAAACGACTATTTCAGGCCGAAAATAGCCGGAAATGGCCAGATCTATTCTGACCGTTAACGGCCAGATCCCTGGCCATTAACGGCCAGGTCCAAAATAGATCTAGTCATTAACGGCCAGATCTTGCCTAGACCTGGCCGTTAATGGCCAGGGATCTGGCCGTTAACGGCCAGTTCCATTGATCTGGCTGGAAATGGCCAGAATAGATCTAGCCATTTCTGGCCTGATATAGCCGTTTTCGGCCATCAATATGGCCGGAAACGACCATATCGAAGCCTCCCACTGAATTTCGTTCTTTTTTAGGGAGACTGACGATTTCCCAGCAACAATCCGTGGTGGTTGGCCAGCTGTCGGCGGTGGTGGCTAGGTGGCAGTGTTGGTGGTGGCTGGGTGGCAGTGGTGGTCTGTAAATTATTTTAAATATAAGGGCATTATTGTCCAAAATTTTAATTAAACAAGGGTAAAATTGAAATAGGATATTAATGTAGATTTGTTTTAAAATAGGGGTATTATTGTCCAAAATTTTTATTAATAAGGGATAAAATTGTAACAAAAAAAGAAAACCCTGGTAATCTTAAAAAACCTAAGAAAATAGAGGTAATCAGATTACCTCCAATATTACCAATAGTAATCACTATTGGTATTTGAAGATTACCGGTATCTTATATTACTTGACAGTCAAATATGGTAATTAAGTAATATAAGATTACTTATCCTCATTAATCTCAGATACACCCGAACCAAACACCCCCTAAACATATTTCTTCACATCTTTTTATTTTATTTCTTCTTATCGCTCCCTCGAAACATTAAAACTCCCCAAAAGCCTAAATAGTAAATCTCTAAATCCCTAATCATCTCTAATCTTTCTCCGACGACGAACGGCGACCATCCAATTCCTCTACCGACTAACGGCGAATGAAAAACGACTAACCTATCTTTGTGACGACGAACGACACATGCTCTTGAAAGTTTCTGCTAATCATCTCTGATCTCTGTGAGGGCAGCCCTAATCATCTTTGATCTCTATGATGGCAACCTGCTGCCTTTTTAATATTTGATTTCTGCTATTTAGAATGCCTTATATTCTGGTTTGTCAATGTTTAAATATGCACATGATCTTGAAAGTTTGGTGATTTTGTAAGTTTGGAAAAACCGTTTCAATCAGAATATGAGTGTGTTTTGTGGGGTTTTAGTTTCCAATTAGTTTTACTTTGTTTGATATTATTATATTTGACGCACATTTTGCAATTTACTGTATCTAGTTAGTTGGAGTTCCGTTGTTGGAACGAAAATTTGGCATGTCAATGTGCATATTCTTTGACCTTTTTATTTTACTTGTGGTCAGTTAGCAAGTCACGCGATTGTTAGTTGATTTTCAAGTAAATGTCTGACCAGGTGTTTTTGTGCAGCTTATAACAGATGTGAATATTACTATTGCAATTGAAGCCATTCAAGCTATTGGTAATCTTGCTCGTGGTCCTAGAACCCATTCTTTTTCCAATTCACGCTCTCTATTGCCAGTTTTACTTGTGAGTTCTGTATCTTTACACCTTTCCATATTTCTTTTTATATAGTTGGAAAATCATGTATAATATTTTTTGTCTGCCTATGTTTCTCTTTAGCAATCTCTTCTTTCTTCTTAGTTTTCCAATAAGACCCATACAAATATGGAGGCTTTTCATGTCTGGCAAAAAATTTGTGCAAAAGAATGATTCTAGTGCATCTATTCTTTTATGTTTCGGAGGCAACTTTTGACTCCCCCCTCCCAAAAAAATAAAAAAATAAAAAAATAAAAAAAGTAAAACCTGCTTGCTTGCATTTGTTTCCACTTTCTAAATCATTGCTTCTTACTAGAGAAACTTAATGTACTATAATTTCATATTTTCAACTTGTATGATTTTGTAACTTTTTAGTGATAAGCCATTTTTTCTCTTCTTTATGATGCTTTGCTTATGTTGCTGCATGATGGATATTCTATCTTTCTTCTGGCGTGAATAGTTATTAGGTTTCTTTATGATTTTTTGGCTATGTGATGACCATTTAGAAGTTTGATATAGAATGAACATTTTTTGGGTGTTGTTAATGTGTTTGTTTTTATTTAGTTTATAGAATGATTTCCAGTTTAGATTCATGTTTGAATGTTATTATGCTATGGATTTTTCATTACATATTTAATGTTTTTTTCCTTGTTTTTAATAGATATATATGGCATCCACTTCCACCTCCACCTCCATTGACATGCCAACAAAGGTTGCCACTCCAGAAACGCATCCTACGGTAGATACAGTTGTAAGTGGCACTCATGACGTAGGCACTCCAACTAGGGTTAATGAAGATGAAGCTGTTAATCCTTTTGCAAGGAAGAAAAGAAAAAAGACCTCTACTGTTTGGAATGATTTTAGAGAAGCGGTGCTGCCGAACAGAGACAAAGAAGCAGAGTGCATCCATTGCAAGGCAAAACTTGTCATGACGACTACCGGGAGTACTACTCACCTCTCTAAACATATGAAAACTTGTGTACGATAATCAATTTTTCAAAGGCAGCAACAAATCTTTTTCTAGCCGTTAGATGCAAATGAGAATGTGGTTGTGCCAATTCTTACCAATGGGAAATTTGAGATGGCAAAGATGAGGGAACTTTGTGCTAATTGGGTGTTGCAGCATAAGCATCCTTTTAATGTTGTGGACCAGGAAAATTAAACGTTATGCTCAAATATGACATACCACAGTTTGAAAAGATTGCTTGCATCACATGCATAAATGATTGCTTTAGTTTGTATGAAAGGGAGAAAAGGAGGTTAAATAATTTGTTAAAGAATGTTGAGAAGTTAAGCTTCATGACAAATTTATGGACCTCATCTAATGAAAAGCTTGAGTATATGGTGCTAATAGGGCACTTCTTAGACAGTAATTGGAGATTACAGAAATGAGTTCTGAACTTTGTGTATATACCTCCTCTGTGTACGAGTGCTATGATTGCAGATTTGCTTTACAAGTCTCTGAAAGACTAGGGTCTGGAAACCAAAGTTTACACGATATCAGTCAATAATGCAACAAGTAATGATGCTACAATAAGAATCTTGAGAGAGAATTTGTCAATAAGCAGTAAACTACCATGTGGGGGGAAATTGTTTCACGTGTGGTGTTGCGCACAAATCTTGAACCATTAGGTTCAAGATTGTCTCTCTGAAATAAAATATATTATTGAAGATGTCCGAGACAGCGTGGCATATGTGAAACAAACGGAGAGCAGACTTAGAATTTTCAGAGATTGCCTCACCAAAAGCTTATTTTGGATTGCAAGATGAGGTAGAATTCCACCTATAAGATGTTTTCGAATGCACTTAAATTCAAAGATTTTTTTAGAAGATATTGTAAGAAAGACCCACATTACAGAGCCATTTGTCTAGAAGAAGAGGATTGGGTAAAAGTGGAACAAGTTACTGAAATTTTGGAACCATTTTGTACGGTAACTAATATCATCTCTGGGAGTGATTACCCGACCGCAAATAGGTTTTTGAGTGAAGTTTTCTAGGTGAAGGTGATGCTAGATAACAAGGCAGACGAGAAATGGTGAAAAAGTATTGGGAGGAGTGTAACTTGTTGATGTCTGTAGTTGTGGTTATAGATTCTAGGTGCAAAATGGTAGTGATTAACTTTTGTTTCCCTCAAATGTATGAAGAGGATGAAGCACTTGCGAATATTGATAAAGTTAGAGATGCCTTGTATGAACTTTACCAAGAATATGTAGATGAGTCACAAGCCTCCACCAACACTCAACAAATTAGAGATGGTAGCATGGTTCCTTGGGCATCTTTACCATTGTGACCTCTTGATTTTGGTTTTCAGTTATTTACACAGCATTTGAAGACAGTTCAAACTATTCCACCAAAAAAATAAGACTTAGATTGTTATTTGGCGGAGGCATGTTTATATGTAAAGGGGGGGGGGGGGGGGGGGGGGGGGGGTGGGGGGTGGGCGGGGTGAGGGGGGAGTATCATATATTATAGAGGATGGCATGTAATGTACTAGCCATTCCTATCACCATAGTGGCTTCAGAGTCCACATTCAATGCTAGTGGTAGACTAATTGATCTATATCAAGCTACATTGTTGCCAAAAACAGTTGAAGTTCTCATTTGCGGGGCTGATTGATGTCACAACCATGGTTGTCAAATCGCGTATCGTATCGTGTATTAAAAACCTAATTTTTCAAATCGCGTATCGCATATCGTATCGTATCGTAGGATACGCCTTTTTAAAAAAATAATAAATAAAATAATCAAAATTTTTTAAAAAATTAATATCATCCCCAAGATTAATTAAAGAATTTTGTGGTATTATTGGCTTTAAATTATAGTATTACATAATCAAAATTAATCACAAAATTAAGAATCTATATCATTTTCTCTCAATTTTTTATATCATTTCCAAGATCAATGCCAATATCTATAGCTCCACTTGTATTATTATTATCAAGCAAAATGGACAACACATGTTCCTTTTCACTTTCTCCATGCAAAATGGGTAAATTTGGGCAGATTTTAGTAAACTGGGTTGGGTGACTCAGTTCCAACCTGAAATTTTTTTGGGCCTTTGGCCCAAGTTAATAAAGTCGTATCGATTTGTATAAATATTTTTAAGAAAACAAACGGATATGTATCGTATCGTAAGATACATATCAAAGTATCAAAAGGTTTAAGATACATTCTCTGATACGTATCGTTAGTAACTTGTATCAAATCATATCGTATGATACGTATTGGGTATCGTATGATACTAATAATCACGGTCGCAACCTAAATAGACTAAAGATAAAGGATAAAGTAAGTTACCAACTTTTCATTATTAAATTTTCTTTTTAAGTATGTTTATATGTTCATTTAATAGTTTCTTTTATTTAATATCTTAAACACTTAAACTAATCTTTTCTCGTAACAAATTTTAGAAAGATAAGGAAGAAGTGGAGATCCAACTTCCCATCTACTGAAGTTATATTTATGCTTCCCTCAGGTATCAGACTTGTTTAAGTATGTTTAATATGTTTAAGTATGTTTATATGTTTGCTTTCGATTGGGATCAGACTTGTTTTGTGTTGGAAGGTGTTTGGTGGTGATCTGGTGCTGTGAGTTTCTAGGGTAGCAGTGGCCAATTGTTGGGTTTTTGTTGGAGTTGCTAGATGCTTGTCAGTGTTGTTTGCTCTGGGAATTGAGGAAGTTATTTGGTGTGTTGCCTTTTATGGATTTGCAGGTGGTTGGTGTTCTTTTTAATGCTTTTGTAGGAGGTTTTTTCCTCTCTTTGTGATGGCTTTTTGGGAGTGTTGGGCTACAGCTGGGAAAGTGTTGTTGCGTTTGTTTTCAGAAGGTTGCTAGTTGCATTCTTTATGGTTTTCAACTTGTTTTTGCTTTTGTTTTTGCTGCCTATTGTTTAGGTCTATTGTGGCTTGTTTTGTTTGGCTATGTAGCTGTGTTTTTTAAGAATTCGCATGAAGAGTTGTTGTTCATGTTTATGTTCCCTGTCATGTTTATGTTTGCTATCATCCCTAGTTTTGATGGCTTGTTTTGTTTAGTTCATATTGTGAGAATTTAGTATTTATCTGCTTGGGTGGTATTAATAGTTATTGCTAATTTTAAATGTGGGGTCTTTGAAATTCTGAATGTTTTTTATTGGATATAAATTACATGTAGTTCTCATTTACATATATAAATCATTGTAATTTTATGAGTTGTATAGTTTTTTAATGTAGGTAACTGTTTGCTTGGTTTAATTGATTCATATTGAGATGGATGAAAACTTGGATGTTGCCATTTCATTTGGTTTTTGGTGAATAAATGGTGGGATCTTGCAAACAATAGTATTTACTTGTTGCAGGTTGAGGGGCCAACTGATGAAGTTATTTTTGACCATTTGCAATTGCATGCAGCTATCTTCCAGTACACTCCTTTAGATGAGACAACTGATGAAGTTTTGTTATTTTTGTGGCACTGAGATATTTGTTACGTCATCTGACTTTGATATAGACATGGAGGAAGAGAATACAACTGAAGTTTTACATCATGCAAGAGGTTTCTTTTGTGAGCAGGCCTTATGGCTGTGTAACTTGTGTAGTTATGTAACTTGTGTTGTGTAAATTTGATATGAGAAGGCTATTTGGAGCAATTTTCAACTTGTTTATAGTGCTGCTGAGTACTTGATTAACATTGTTTAATTTAGTTTGGGGCTGCAATTGCAATCAGGCACTGTAATTTGTTTTTAAATTTGATCATGCATTCTAGAACTTTGGAGCTTATGGAAATTTGATTTTAAAACTAAATGTGAATAAATTGCTTCAATTATAGGTTGAGATGAAACACGAATTCGAGCTTGAATTCGAACTCAGATGCAAGCACAAATTTGAGCTCCTTCTCGAGCTCGAATTTGAGCCTCAGCTCGAGCTCGAACACAACTCAAATAACAAATGAACTGAACTCGAACTCCTATCAATTCCTCGAGGTCGAAGTCAAACAAGGTTTTCCTGGGCTTGACAAGTTCGAACTCTTAACTCTAACTCGAATTCAAACTAGAACTCTATCAAATTTTCATGAACCGAACTTGAACCCGAAGGTGTTCGGCTCGACTTGGTTTGTATGCAGGCCTATGCCGTCCTATATGCCCACAAAGCGTCATCAAGCTTGTTTGACCAATTTTTCTGAGAAACATTCATCGTTTTCTCCAAAATACGCTCCAGCTCTTGATTAAACACCTCCACTTGGCCATTTTTTTGCGACTTCTATGGGGTGGTGACGCGATGTGTAGCTCCATATTTTCTTAGCAATGTCTCGAATTGACAGTTGCAAAAGTGGGAGCCTTAATCACTTATAATTGCTCTTAGTGTGCCAAATCTTATAAAAATATTCTTCTTCACAAACTTGACTACTACTCGAGCATTAATGGTAGGCAATGCTACAACTTCCATCCATCTTGAGATATAATCTACAACAACCCAGATAAAATGATTAGAAAACGAGGACGGGGAAAGGTCTCATAAAATCTATGCCCCACACATCAAATAATTCTACTTCTATAATATTATGTAAAGGCATTTCATTTCTCCTACATATATTCCCAACTTTTTGACATTCATCACAACTCAGAATATAATTAAAAGCATCTTTAAAGAGAATGGGCCAAAAGAATCTTGATTGTAGCACTTTGGCAGCCGTCTTTGTTGCACCGTAATGGCCGCCAGCTCTAATGAATGACAATGATGAAGAATGTTCTCCATCTTTTCCTCTGGCACACATCTTCTTGTCATTTGATCAACATAATGCTTGTATAGCAATGGATCCTCCCAAAAATAGAACTTTAGTCGAAAAAGAACTTCTTGCATTTTTGGTATGCCATCCCCAGAGGCAAAACTTTCTTCGCTAAGTAGTTAGCAATGTTGGAGAACCACATACCTTCTTGAATGGAAAACAATTGCTCATCCAAGAAATAGTCATTTATTGGCATATTCTCCTTTGGATCTTCTTTGTTAGACTCAAGTCAAGATAAATGGTCTACACTTAAATTTCAGTTCCCTTCTTCTCTCGGATTTCCAAAGTCAAATTCTTGTAAAAGAAATACCCATCGCAGCAACCTTGGCTTGGAATCCTTCTTTGCTAGTAGGCACTTCAATGCTGCATGACCGGTGTAGACAATGACCTTGGTACCTAACAAATAGGAACGAAATTTTGTCAATAGCAAAAACTACTGCTAAAACTCTTTTTCAGTTGTGGCGTAATTTAGTTGAGGTTTTGTCAATGTCCTATTAGCATAATATATCATATGTAATACTTTATGTTTACGTTGCCCTAAAATAACCCTTATGGAAAAATAACTAGCATCACACATAGGTTCAAAAGGTAGTTCCCAACCGGTGCAACAATTATAGAAGTAAAAATTAATTTGGACTTCAAGCATTCAAATGCATCTAAACACTCTTGAGTAAAATTAAAAGGCACATCTTTAGCTAATAATTTACAAAGAGGTTTAGAGATTTTAGAGAAGTCATTATGAATATCCTATAAAAATCGACATGATCGAGGAAACTTCTAATGACCTTCACGGAAGTGGGAGGTGGTAGCTTCTTGATAACTTCAATTTTCGCATGATCTACCTCTATTCCGTTTACGGATATACGATGACCTAACATCCTAGTTAGTAAATTCGTGTTTTATACACGAATTCACATATTTTATCAAAGCTGTCGTATAATTCGCAAATTATATGCCCCATTCGTATAATTCGCGAATTATTGCCAATTTTTTGTAGGCAAATCATTAAATGATCAGGCAAAACGACGTCGTTTTGGTGGGGTTTGACTAAAATTAAAGGAAATCTCCTTCTCCTCTTCCTCGGTTCTCTCTTCGACAGTCTTCATCTCTTCTTCAACAATTCAACTATCAAATATCTTCATCTCTTTAACTTTGTTTTCTTCATCTCTTGACTCCTGAATCTTGATCTCTTCTTCTCTTCTCTTTTTAACTCTCTTCTCCAAGCTTTAAGTCCAAGACTTCAACTATTCAAGCCTCAAGCTACACACTTCTTCTTTTTTCTTTTTAACTCTCTTTGAATCTCGTATGTTAGTGATTTGCTTGTGTTTGTGCTGGTGTGTGAGTAGTAGTAGTAGTAGTAGGGGCTGATGGATTGATGGATTTGTTATGTTGGTGGATTGATAGATTTGTTTGAAACATATTTGAAGAAATGCTTGTGAGAGTTATATTTGGTATCCATTTTAACATAATATTCCATTTAGTTTTTTATTGTATGGGTCAAAATGAAAAGACTAAAGATCATATGTGAAAGCAAAAGGTAAAGGCAAAACTGCAAAAGAAAAGCATGAATTTATAAAAATAATATTATCAGGCTTGGATTTGGAATTGGTAGATACTTAAAGGAGAAGAAAAAGACAACAAACCATCAACTTGCAACCTCTGATTAATTGTCTCTTATGGGTCCAACGCCAATTGCAAATTGTAAACCCATGTGCACTTTATCATGTTTTTAGATTTCATAATACTATTATTATGTGACCTTTGAATGCACTGTCCAATTAAATTCAGAACATAAAATTCAAAAAATAAAACAACTACACTAATTGGAATCCAAATTTTGTATGTGTAGCTGTAAAATTATGGATAAAGATACCAGTCTTAGTTATTGTTCAAATATACTTTAAATAAAAAGGAAAATAAATTGTAGGGTCGACGACAATGGATTATTTAAATTAGGATGTTTTGAAAAGTGCTAAAACCAGGATTGCTATTGATGTATTTTTCAAAAATTATTATTGATAATGTGTCGTATTAAACTTGTATATATCCGTATCATATTTTTCCTATATCCGAATTTTATGGCTGAATTTTTACAAACATATTTGTCACCATTTGCCGTATTATACCCGTAAAATTCATGTATTTACTAACTAGGACTAACACAATACCATCTTGTACCATAAAATGAAACTTCTCCCCATTCAAAACAAAATTAGTGCCTACACATCACTGTAAAACCAAAGATAAATTAGTCAAACATTCATCAAAAGAATCGACAAAAACTGAAAAATTGTCCATAAATACTTCAATGGACTTTTCAATCATATCCGAGAAAATTGACATCACACAATGTTAAAAAGTAGTTAGAGTGTTGCAGAACCCAAAAGGCATTCTTCGTAGGCGAAAGTTTCGTATGGACATGTGAAGGTAGTCTTCTCTTGATCCTCTGACCTTATATCAATTTTATTGTACCCCTAATATCCATCAAGGAAGCAATAAAAAGTATGACCCACTAACCTCTTTGGCATTTGATCAATGAATGGCAATAGGATGTGATCCTTGCAAGTTGTGGCATTTAGTTTACGATAATTGATACACACTCGCCATCCCGTGACCATTCTCATTGGAATAAGTTCGTTGTTATCGTTTTGAACCACAATCATTCCTCCCTTCTTTGGTACTACTTGAACTAGACTTACCCATGCACTATCCGAGATTGGATAAATGATTCCCAAATCTAAAATCTTTAAAACCTCCTTCTTAACCACCTCTTGCATGGATGAGTTCAGTCTTCATTGTGGTTCAATGGTACGATTGTAGCTATCCTCCATGAGAATCTTGTGCATACAAATTGAGGGACTTATATCCTTTTATGTCCGCAATTGACCATTCGATTGCCTTCTTGTATTTTTGCAACACTTGAAGTAATTTTTCTTCCTTTAGATCACTCAAAGAAGCATTAATAATAATTGTAAAATATTTAGAGTCTTCTAAGAATGCATACCTCAAGGGCGACGGTAATGGCTTGAGTTCAAGTGTATGCAACTCTTTGATTGGTGGATTGGATTGAACTTCCACAAATCCAATTTCTTTGAATCTCTTGGCATATGGAGTCTCTAATGATGGCAGAACATTTAAGTAGCTTAAACACTCTCTTATCTCTTATCTCTTAATTTCGTCCTCCTTAATCCTAGAGTTGACTAAACAATTTCCTAAGGGTGAAATACGGTAGTTTTCTTCTAAAGTTTCAACTACTATGTCATCAAGAATGCTAATTTCAAAACAAGTATCTAACTAGGATGGATATTTCATAGCACCATATACATTGAACTCCACTTGTTCATCTTTCACCTTTAAGATTATTTTCCCTTGATGAATATCTATCAAGGTTCCACTCGTAGCCAGAAAAGGTCTTTCTAAAATTAAAGGTACTTCCCGATCTTCTTCCATGTCTAAAATTATAAAATCTACCTGAAAAATCAGTCTTTCTACCTTTATTAGGACATCTTCCACCACTCCCCTATGATGTTTTATGGATTTATCCATCAATTGAAGAGAAACCATAGTTGGCTTCACCTCCCCTAATCCAAGTTTGTTGTAAATAGAAAATGACACTAAGTTAATGCTTGCTCCTAAATCACATACAACTTTATCAAACAAAACAACTACCACGAGTCCAAGGAATGTCCCTGGATCTCTTAGTTTAAGTAGTAGTTTCTTTTGAAGCAATGTACTGCACTCCCCAGTGAGCATGATCATCTCGTGTTCTCCAAACTTCCTTTTGTGAGTGAGGATCTCCTTTAGAAACTTCATGTATTTTGACATTTTCTCCAACATATCTACAAAAGAAATATTAATGTGTAAGCTTCTAAACATGTCAATGAATTTAGCAAATTGCTTATCTAGTTTTTGCGTCTTCAATCTATGAGGAAACGGAAAAGCAGGTTCCAATCTTGCATTGACATGAGAAAAAGGAACTGTAGTTTTCCCAGTTTCTTATGTCCTAACGCGACATGAATTATTTATGTAACAACATTGGTCTTCCTTAACATCTCTGTTGCGACATTCATTTTCCTTCGTCGTGGCATTGAGTTCTTTGCCCAACTTCAAGTTTTCTTCTTTTTCATCCAATTTTGGCTCTTTCAACTGCCCACCACTCCTCAAAGTAATAGCATTGGCTTGCTCCTTAGGATTCTTCTCTGTATCACTAGGCAAAAATCCTTGAACTCTTCCCAAAAGTTATTATGAATTTGCCCCATTTGAGTCTCAAGATTTCTAATGGATGCAACTTGGTTTTGGAGAAGAACTTCATTCTTTTCAAACCACTTGCTCGACTCATCAATAAGAGCATATTCTCCAAATTAAATTTCTTTTCTTGAGCTTGAAAATTGGGAGGTGACTTTGGATTATCGTTATTACTCCAAGAAAAATTAGAATGATTACACTATACTGGAGTATAAGTGTTGTAGTACGGATTCCTTTGCCCTCGTTGGAAGTTATTGACATAGTTTACTTGTTCAAGCCGAGTAAACGGACTTCCTATTTGGCAATCTCTAGTCAAGTGATTTCTCCCACAAAATTCACAAGTTAACCTAGGAGAATTGATGGCATTAACCTTAAGAGCACCCAATTGCTTTGGTATGGTTGTAAATTGAGCGGACAAAGCGGTATATCCATCTACCTCATGATCTCTCACTACTTTCCTTGGAAAATTTTGTTCCGAAGGTTTCATATAATTATTACTAACCATCATCTCAATCCTGTTTAATTTTCTTAGTTCTCATGAAGCAGAAGTTGGTTGAAATAAAAATACCACATATAAGAATTTGGAGAGAAAATAGTTTGTCGAAGGAAAGGAACTCAAATTTAATTAAAAAGGAAAAATGGCTATTTAAACCAAGAGAAAAAAAAATAGCGATGATGAGGTTAACAAAAAAGTTTAGAAGGAAATATATTAGAAATGGGCAATTTTGAAAGGAAATATAAAATATTAATAAATTGAATTTTAAAAAAATGATTTTAATTTTTAAGGGGCTTAGAAAAAGAATTAGCGGCGCTTAAATAGCATCACTGAATTTTCAATTTGGAAGCCCGTTTCAAAACCATGAAAACCTAAGCCCAAATGAATGGCCCATGGGTCGTAGGATCCCCTGCCCCACCCACCCTAAAGTATATAATACTATGCGTCAGTTTCAGGCTTCATTTTGATGATAAGAGTTGAAGTCGGGTAGACCCGCTTCTGTGTCGGACTCTCATTCTCTCTGCAGTCGGACCTTCGATCAGGTACGCTCTACTTCTTCTAATCAAATTTTACCATTAGAATTTTGTTTGTTCCACTCTGAAATACTCAAGTGATTTACTCTCTTATTCAAAAACAATATAATCAATCTTTTCATACGCATATCATATACCAGTTTTTTTTTTTTTTTTTATTTGGATAAGAAGATGTTTTATGACTCTCAAAATCATCAAATATATTGCTTTTTAATAATGAACTGGTATTTGCTGAGTTTGCTGGTTTTATTGATCATGCTATCATCTGAATCAATCAATTACAATTTAGTCCAAAGAAATGCAGTCTGTTGTTAGAAAATTATAAAGATAAAAAGAGTAAATTCCTAATGCTACATGTTGATTACAACCAGAATTGAAGTCATGGTCTGCCATTAAATCTTTTGTTTTACTGAAATAGTTAGGAGCTCAAATGTCAGAGACAAACGTTGAGGATTTGAAGGAGGAAGAGGTGGCAGCTGAATCAGATACCCTTCAAAAACAAGTAAATGAGAAGTGTGTGCAAGAAGAAGACGGTGAAAGCCACCCCATGCCTTCACCCCAGCAGGAGGTATAATTTGCTTTTGAATTTCATTGATATATCGTTTAATGCTTTCTTTAATTCTGAATGTTTATGATGCAGGAGGAAATTATCAAGAAAAAGTATGGAGGAATACTACCAAAGAAACCTCCATTAATTTCCAAGGTAACTGTTATTTGTTTTTGCTTCATCTTCTTCGTTAACTAGAGTTCACCTATAAACATCTCTATCTCTACCAGGATCATGAGCGTGCTTTCTTTGATTCTGCTGATTGGGCTTTGGGAAAGGTACTCATTTTATTTGATCTACATATCATTCATTTGGAATACACAATTCCTGCTAACTCTTTGAACTGTTCATAAACAGCAAGGAGCACAGAAGCCTAAAGGACCTCTTGAAGCTCTTCGCCCAAAATTGCAGGTACTTGAATAGTCAATGCAATATGAATAACGCCTGAAAATAAGGAATATTAGTTTTAATGTTGTGCTAATTATGGTGCTTAATTATCAGCCCACGCCTCACCAGCAAGTGCGCTCAAGGCGCTCAGCTTATGCTCCTGCAGACGAATATGAAGGTATGATTGTGGATTTTACTTGCAGGGTTTTTCATGCGCTTTGTGAAATAACATTTTTCTTATTCTTGTTTCGCTTTTAACAGGAGATGGAGATGGAGATGGTGCGGATAACAACACTTCGTCAGAGGAACAAAGCTGTGCATTGGATTGCGGCCAAAATAACAACACTACGTCTGATGAAAAGAGTCCCCACTAATGGTTGTCATCAAACCATTTTATGAATAAATGAATGACGGCAATGTTGTAACAATCAATTATGTTTGCACTCTGAAAAAGGTGAGACATTCATGTGTCATTTCCAATAACGCCTCCACTAAACATTTAGAATTTTTGTAGCATAAATGTTACTTTAAATCTTGATATTGGTTATACAATTTTGTATTCCTTCCCTCCATATTTGAGACCTACCGTCATTAAAGCTTTCCCAAATGAAGATAGATCATATAACTAACTGTTATACTAAAGGTTTTCGATGACATCATTTTGGCTATGCTCTAAGAATCCAGATTGCAAATTGTTAAACGTGATTGAAGATGGGCACAGATACACATAACAGATTGGTATTGTGCAAATACTAAGAAAGGAACAAATAAAATATAAACACATTATGCTATAGTGAAATTTTCCAAGCGAAAGTTGATTTGCAAAAGGACTAGTTCGAATCCTGCAATCCAAGTTATCGCTGCCTCATATAGTCATATTTCAGTCCACCTTAAGACTCACAAACTGATTAACAACTCACCAAAATCGTAACACTTGAATTATTGACCAAAAAGGTTGGCATATTTTCCCGAGTAAACGCCAGTGATTCATTCTAAAATACCAATCCATGGCAATGCAATGGGTTCGCACTTCTGAAATGTGTGGTCTTAGACTCTTAGCACTCAAGTTCGGTCAGAGATCCAATTTTTGGGGGAAAATTTCTTACAATAACTTTAAAATATTCCTTTAAGTAAAAGCTGAGCATTTGGTGTATATTCATGAATACGAAAATGGATGATCGTAACTTGCTTATAATTCAACAACCTCTAACTTCTCCAACATAGTAGGATGCCTCCAATATTAGAAAGTTACCCTGACAAAATCAAATTGGTAGAAAACACTTTCCAACTCCAATTAGCGCGGAAAGGTATCAATGGTTTCAAACTCTGCCTTGACCAAAAAACATCACCACATGTCCCATAAGCGCCAGTAATACCAGCACAAAATTCACTTGGCTTAAACCTAGCTTTTCTTTCTATAGATAACATACAAATAAATAAATTACATGCACACAAAAGCTGGGGAAACATAAACAAAAGAAAAGGACAAAAATAGATGTTAAAGTCAATTGTTGTTCGCTAGATTATTTAAAGACTGTTAACGAAGCTTCATACAGTTACTATTGTCAATAATAAGTAACTTCGACTAGAAAAATTCAGCCACATCTAAAACAGAACACAAATGACACAAGAACAAAAGGGTTTCCCACTGAACTCAGCCATAACATATGGTACTTGAAGGAGAAAAAACTTAAAAAAATTGTATTTCCAATATGTGAACAGCTAAGTTATTTGGAATTAAAAAAATAGTCTCATTCAAAATGTGAACCTATATTCATTGCTGTGCATTAGACAACACAGCTAAATGTTGTGTATGTGTAAACACATATGCTTACAGGTGAGCATGCCCATGAAAGAGAAACTAATCTTGTACATTTAAGTGCATCCCAGAGAAAGATGTGAATATATATATATATATATATATATATATATTAAATAGCAGTCTAACTGCTAGTTTTTATTATTTCACCAAATTCATTTGGTTTCACGACACATTTCTATATATCCTGATCTAGTAGTTATTAGTTTATTACTGCTTATTTCACAAGTGTGAATAAATTACAACTGATCCAACAATTTCACAGAACAACTTACCTGCTAATGCTGAAGAAATCAATGATACATCAGACCTGCCAAATTGATAGCACAGAACTAAAAATGCTTCACAGAACACCAATTATAGATAATACATGATGATTCAATACAGAGAGTGAACCTACCCATTGAACTGATTTTATCTTATCTTTACCACACCGACAATCTGTGAATCAATCCAACCAGGAATTTCTATAACTAGCTTGCATCGATGGTTTCCTTCATAACACAGCCTCCAAAACTAACCTGAACAGAGATTTAATCAAAAACACCCGACTTTAAAGAAATTTTAAGTTTCATAACATTCTCATACCATTATTTCCAACCCATTTCATGCACGCTACCTCAAAACTAACACCAGAGTTAAGAAATCAAATTCTATATCTCTAAGGAAATAACTAGCAGAGAAGTTTCTCTCTTTTACTTTAGGAAAAAAAAGCTCTCTTTTGCTTTCCACATCAACTCCAAGAAAAAGAAATAGCCATATGGGCTACACAGAGTAAACTGCAACAAATGGAGATGAAACCAAAATACAGCACTCCCAACATGATGGTGCAGTAACATTTTAGAATACAAAATTGAAGTTCAAAGCTCTAGAGCCACAATTTTGTTATCCACACTTACATTGAAAACAAAATGGCATTTCAATTCTGCAACTAAAAAAATCCCTCATAAATCCAAGGAAACAAAGTCATGGCAAACAATCATGCAAGTTTTACAGGGAAATACATATTGTGCTATGACATTCAAGTCACTCTGCTTGCAAAAACCATTGGGAGGCACAATATAAACCCAATAATTGTTGGAGTCAAGGCCACAAAAGATTGTACAGTGAATTGCATCATCAGATAATGCTGTTCACCCTAAACAAAGCATCAAGGGTGCAAAGCATAATTTAGTCAAACCCTGTGCAGCTGATCTTCTGGTCTAGGCAGGAGGCTTCATCAAAAAGGGCAAAGGGCTGACTTCAGGATTTGTAATTCACAACTGTTTAGATGGGAGAGGGAAGGCAATAAAGGGAAAATGGTGCATTAGATCCTACTAGGCAGACAACGGTTGGCTAGGGTAAAGATGCCATCAGCTAATTGCAGTGTCTCTTTCACTAGCTAAAAAAATCAAAACAAAAATTCTTTATTAAATTCCAAAAGAGAGGATCAAGAGGGAAAAAAACAAACTATCTACCTGCAGGGCCTACAATCAGGTATTAATGCCCATGATTTTTTCTTTGAGAGGTTGAATTCTGACCAGATAACCTAACAACAGAAGCTTAAAATCAGGCATGAATAAAATTATCAAAGATGAAAAAATAATACATTTACTAGCAAACAAAACAAATATTTGGTAGGTCTCTGCCATGTAAAAGGAAAAATTATGTGATTTAAAGGAAACAAAGAAAATCGTACCCACGACCGGAAGAGTGGCCACCATACGCTCCATAAAGACTATCGCCACCACTCTAAAAAATGGCAATGACATATAACTTTTCATAAAAAGAAATTAAGAATAAAGTGACATGGCGATTAATCAATTGGCTCATTAAGAATAGGAATACATACTTCAATCACATCTTTCACTTCATTTGCCCATTAAAATAAGACAAATGACTAGAACTTTAACTGCATTAAGTAATTGCAACTAGAGTATTTAAAAAATAAAAAGCAAAATTTGATATTTATATAGAGATAAGCTATACCAGTGAACCACCATAACTTCCATAACTGTCACGAGCAGGCACATCACCAGATGCATAAGAATATCCACGTCCACGTGATTGGCTATCACGATTTCCATGTTTTGTACCATCTGACATGTCCACTGACATGGGGACATAAGGAAGCACCGGAGGATATCCAGCTAATCCTCCCTCCCTTTCAAATATATTAGCTCTCAAGCGCAAAGTTACTTGTGAAAGGGCATTACTAGCAACATCAAGACTTCCAGTGATCTGGTCAGCATAGAAAAATAAACATCCATCTCATTAATAATAATAGGACAATTAAATGCAGCAACCAAGCAACAAAGAAGCACTTGCTTATAGAAAGTTTGTGGGGTGGGTATAAAATATGTATTATGAATGTTTGAATGCCAATATCAACTGTATTCATAAATACGTCCCAATCACCTGCACCATCTCCTCATCTTCATATGCAACTTTGGGAAGGTTTTCATTTGAAAGAATTCGAATGCTTGCCCTAGTAGCACTCCTCATCTCAGATATAATAGCTCCGCCTCTTCCAATAAGGCATCCAATCTGTGAGCTCGGAACTAGTATACGGGTGGTGATTACAGAATCACCTGATTCCCTTTCTGCTTTCTCACTGCATCGTGGTTGCAAGCGCAGCGCAGCTATAATGGTGGGAGATGGGTCTTCAAAGAACTGTAAAAGCATGTAGTATTATCAACAGCACAATATTACGTATAACAAATGTAATTTGCTTATAAGGAGAAGGAAGGGAAAAAAAATGTCCTCACCTCCTTTGCTGATATAAATATAATACAATCATCTCCTTCGGCTCCTGAACTATCAACTTTAATAGATGCTCCAGATTCTTGTCTAATTTGTTTAATAATGCCACCACCTTTCCCTATCACACCTCCAATATTTCCGGTGGGACACACCAAACGAAGAGAAAATTCCCTTGCAGAAGCTTCATCTCTTCGAGTTGAGTGATTCCCATAAGAACCCATAAGTGGGGCACTCAAGAACATACCAGTAGATTGATAAATGTTAGCCGAGGAAGACAGAAGCAGGTGCTGGGAACGTGATGGATTCTCATGAAGGCGAGATGCCACTTGAAGAAGAGCCTTCCTCACAACTGAGGGCTCGCCAACTATCTGAACATCCCCAACCCCCAAACACCCCGAGAAAGAAAAAAAAATTCAGTAGAAGAATCAATATCAGTACACAGTATCATCAACAATGATAAGTATTTAAACAGATGTCAAAATAGACCAAATATTCATCCAGACGCTTCACTGACACAAACCAACTGATTTAAAAATAATAATTAAAAACTTAAATTGTCGAATTCTGTATTAAATTGAAAGTTCACAGTTAATCATTCAAAACTGCTATCACTGACAAATACAGAACCAATAGATTATGCTCATCAACCTACCACAATCCCCTCTCAACTTCCTAACTATAAGAAATAAAAAAAATTCAATATTCACTCCAACAAACCACAATGAACTTTTCATTGATAACATGGCACTTGCAAACAAACTCTCCAAACGGGCATAATATGTGAACAGCTAACTTATTTGGAATTAAAAAAATAGTCTCATTCAAAATGTGAACCTAAATTCATTGCTGTGCATTAGACAACACAGCTGAATGTTGTGTATGTGTAAGCACATATGCTTACAGGTGAGCATGCCCATGAAAGAGAAACTAATCCTGTACATTTAAGTGCATCCCAGAGAGAGATGTGAAAATATATATATATATTAAATAGCAGTTTAACTGCTAGTTTTTATTATTTCACCAAATTCATTTGGTTTCACGACACATTTCTATATATCCTGATCTAGTAGTTATTAGTTTATTACTGCTTATTTCACAAGTGTGAATAAATTACAACTGATCCAACAATTTCACAGAACAACTTACCTGCTAATGCTGAAGAAATCAATGATACATCAGACCTGCCAAATTGATAGCACAGAACTAAAAATGCTTCACAGAACACCAATTATAGATAATACATGATGATTCAATACAGAGAGTGAACCTACCCATTGAACTGATTTTATCTTATCTTTACCACACCGACAATCTGTGAATCAATCCAACCAGGAATTTCTATAACTAGCTTGCATCGATGGTTTCCTTCATAACACAGCCTCCAAAACTAACCTGAACAGAGATTTAATCAAAAACACCCGACTTTAAAGAAATTTTAAGTTTCATAACATTCTCATACCATTATTTCCAACCCATTTCATGCACGCTACCTCAAAACTAACACCAGAGTTAAGAAATCAAATTCTATATCTCTAAGGAAATAACTAGCAGAGAAGTTTCTCTCTTTTACTTTAGGAAAAAAAAGCTCTCTTTTGCTTTCCACATCAACTCCAAGAAAAAGAAATAGCCATATGGGCTACACAGAGTAAACTGCAACAAATGGAGATGAAACCAAAATACAGCACTCCCAACATGATGGTGCAGTAACATTTTAGAATACAAAATTGAAGTTCAAAGCTCTAGAGCCACAATTTTGTTATCCACACTTACATTGAAAACAAAATGGCATTTCAATTCTGCAACTAAAAAAATCCCTCATAAATCCAAGGAAACAAAGTCATGGCAAACAATCATGCAAGTTTTACAGGGAAATACATATTGTGCTATGACATTCAAGTCACTCTGCTTGCAAAAACCATTGGGAGGCACAATATAAACCCAATAATTGTTGGAGTCAAGGCCACAAAAGATTGTACAGTGAATTGCATCATCAGATAATGCTGTTCACCCTAAACAAAGCATCAAGGGTGCAAAGCATAATTTAGTCAAACCCTGTGCAGCTGATCTTCTGGTCTAGGCAGGAGGCTTCATCAAAAAGGGCAAAGGGCTGACTTCAGGATTTGTAATTCACAACTGTTTAGATGGGAGAGGGAAGGCAATAAAGGGAAAATGGTGCATTAGATCCTACTAGGCAGACAACGGTTGGCTAGGGTAAAGATGCCATCAGCTAATTGCAGTGTCTCTTTCACTAGCTAAAAAAATCAAAACAAAAATTCTTTATTAAATTCCAAAAGAGAGGATCAAGAGGGAAAAAAACAAACTATCTACCTGCAGGGCCTACAATCAGGTATTAATGCCCATGATTTTTTCTTTGAGAGGTTGAATTCTGACCAGATAACCTAACAACAGAAGCTTAAAATCAGGCATGAATAAAATTATCAAAGATGAAAAAATAATACATTTACTAGCAAACAAAACAAATATTTGGTAGGTCTCTGCCATGTAAAAGGAAAAATTATGTGATTTAAAGGAAACAAAGAAAATCGTACCCACGACCGGAAGAGTGGCCACCATACGCTCCATAAAGACTATCGCCACCACTCTAAAAAATGGCAATGACATATAACTTTTCATAAAAAGAAATTAAGAATAAAGTGACATGGCGATTAATCAATTGGCTCATTAAGAATAGGAATACATACTTCAATCACATCTTTCACTTCATTTGCCCATTAAAATAAGACAAATGACTAGAACTTTAACTGCATTAAGTAATTGCAACTAGAGTATTTAAAAAATAAAAAGCAAAATTTGATATTTATATAGAGATAAGCTATACCAGTGAACCACCATAACTTCCATAACTGTCACGAGCAGGCACATCACCAGATGCATAAGAATATCCACGTCCACGTGATTGGCTATCACGATTTCCATGTTTTGTACCATCTGACATGTCCACTGACATGGGGACATAAGGAAGCACCGGAGGATATCCAGCTAATCCTCCCTCCCTTTCAAATATATTAGCTCTCAAGCGCAAAGTTACTTGTGAAAGGGCATTACTAGCAACATCAAGACTTCCAGTGATCTGGTCAGCATAGAAAAATAAACATCCATCTCATTAATAATAATAGGACAATTAAATGCAGCAACCAAGCAACAAAGAAGCACTTGCTTATAGAAAGTTTGTGGGGTGGGTATAAAATATGTATTATGAATGTTTGAATGCCAATATCAACTGTATTCATAAATACGTCCCAATCACCTGCACCATCTCCTCATCTTCATATGCAACTTTGGGAAGGTTTTCATTTGAAAGAATTCGAATGCTTGCCCTAGTAGCACTCCTCATCTCAGATATAATAGCTCCGCCTCTTCCAATAAGGCATCCAATCTGTGAGCTCGGAACTAGTATACGGGTGGTGATTACAGAATCACCTGATTCCCTTTCTGCTTTCTCACTGCATCGTGGTTGCAAGCGCAGCGCAGCTATAATGGTGGGAGATGGGTCTTCAAAGAACTGTAAAAGCATGTAGTATTATCAACAGCACAATATTACGTATAAGAAATGTAATTTGCTTATAAGGAGAAGGAAGGAAAAAAAAATGTCCTCACCTCCTTTGTTGATATAAATATAATACAATCATCTCCTTCGGCTCCTGAACTATCAACTTTAATGGATGCTCCAGATTCTTGTCTAATTTGTTTAATAATGCCACCACCTTTCCCTATCACACCTCCAATATTTCCGGTGGGACACACCAAACGAAGAGAAAATTCCCTTGCAGAAGCTTCATCTCTTCGAGTTGAGTGATTCCCATAAGAACCCATAAGTGGGGCACTCAAGAACATACCAGTAGATTGATAAATGTTAGCCGAGGAAGACAGAAGCAGATGCTGGGAACGTGATGGATTCTCATGAAGGCGAGATGCCACTTGAAGAAGAGCCTTCCTCACAACTGAGGGCTCGCCAACTATCTGAACATCCCCAACCCCCAAACACCCCGTGAAAGAAAAAAAAAAAATTCAGTAGAAGAATCAATATCAGTACACAGTATCATCAACACTGATAAGTATTTAAACAGATGTCAAAACAGACCAAATATTCATCCAGACGCTTCACTGACATAAACCAACTGATTTAAAAATAATAATTCAAAACTTAAATTGTCGAATTCTGTATTAAATTGAAAGTTCACAATTAATCATTCAAAACTGCTATCACTGACAAATACAGAACCAATAGATTATGCTCATCAACCTACCACAATCCCCTCTCAACTTCCTAACTATAAGAAATAAAAAAAAAAATCAATATTCACTCCAACAAACCACAATGAACTTTTCATTGATAACATGGCACTTGCAAACAAACTCTCCAAACGGGCATACTGTAGAAAAACTTCTCTTACACAATGGTACCCGAAGAACGAACAGGATTTAATCTTACATATCTTTATTTGGTGAAGTTAACAACACTTGAAAGAGATAAAAAGAACCAGAATACAGTTCATGTAACAAAACGAACATCATAGAGTGAACAAAATATGCTACCTGAAGAAGTTCATCAAAATTCAAGGCACAGAGGGGCAAATGTTCATCCTTTAAAACACGAATCTGAGCACGAGTTTCACTTCGTATGGTCTGAATAACTTGTCCACCTTTCCCAATAACACATCCAATCTGATCAGCTGGCACAAGCATTCGAATAGTAACTTGTTGGATATCATCAAAATCATCCTCAGCAGGAGCATCCTCCGCAACAATCCTGTCATGGACCTTGAAGAGAGCATCATGTGCAGGTGCAACATACTCCCCAGAATCTTCAAACAAATTAGTCTCTTCACTCGAACTATAAATAGTGATAATGCGTTCTTCACAGCCAGGGATGGTCTCACTAATCCTAATATTAGACTTAGTATCAGACCTCAACTGTTTGATAATTTCACCACCTCTACCAATAATACTCCCAATCTTTTTCAAAGGACACAAGTAACGGTAAACAGTATCTTCCGAACCAATGCCATGCTGTTCACTGTCATCACCAGGGTTTCTCCTCTTACTCCCTCCGTTAACCGCAGAATCGGACTGAAAATGAGTCCTCTTACCATAATTATTGTTATTACTTTGCCCAGCCATCACAAATAGCCGCTAAACTGTCAGTTGCAAAGTAAAACTTTTGAAATCAAAATTAACAATCCATACACAATTTATGAACATGTAAACAGAAAATTAAAAACTCAACGGATTAAAAACCAAAAATTCAGTCAATTCGGTAACGAAATGTTGAAGAAGCACAGAATAGAACAGAAAATAAAAAACAAATCATTCACAGCACAAAGTAAGTTAACAGTAAGTGAGAATAAAAGCGTGTGATTAGTGGATTGATAGGCAAAATAAAGAGAAAAGATAGATCTCAGAAACTAAAAGAAGATTATTTAGGTCAAAAGGAATTTAGAGGAGAGAGACGAACACGCAAAGAGGAACGGGCGAAGGAAGTCGGGTCGTATCGTTGAATCGAGCTTATGCTTTAATGCTTATCGAGTTTCGGAAAATGAAATAAAATTGTTTGTTTTGATTTTGAATGGTAATGTAAGGTGGTCTTGAGATATATATAAATAAAGGATTAGTGCCAGTGCCTACGACTTGTGAATATTAGTGGCTAAAATATCTTGCAGACATGTGTGCTTTGGATTCTATTTTAGGGTTGCAACTGGCTTCGACTTCGTCATACCACGTTCATTTTTCATTTATTAACTATCATCTCCCTTCACGTTTCACTAAACTTCACTTTGTGCTACCACTTATTCCGATATAATTTATGAGTTTTTTTTTTNTCGAACCTCTCCAGGTAGTTTCTGATGGCAGGGTCAAGTTGTGGAGCTGCCGGGATATCCCCCGCAGCATTTTGTGAAACTGGAACTTCTTCAGTACACTGATTAGCTTGCCCTAGCTCAGATTGGCGGGCCATCTGCTGTTGCAGGACCAGTAGGTCAAAGATTCTCCTGATGAAGGGTAGACACTAAATCGGGCCCTCCTTCTAGCGCCAAACTATTGATGCGGGATTTTGGGCACCAACTAATCAATACGTGTGCAACGTTGATTGATCAAAAAGCACACGTGAAAATGAATATATAAAGAGAAATAAATGCTATAAGAACTTTTAAAGTGGTTCGGATGCTAAGGTAGCATGTCCTACGTCCACTGATTTGTATTGATAGTGAGTGTGGGTCAGGTCGCAACAGCGGACTGACTTACAAGATGTTTAGAAAAAGTAAATGAGTTGTTTACAGGACAGAGAGAGAGTGATTTTTTGGTAAAAAATGGTCGAATCCCCTTAATGAAGGGGTCTTCTTCTTCTTATATTAAGCTAAAGCATGTGATCATCATTAAATCTTTGGGTTGGTGTGATTGTCAGGATATAATCCGGCTTTATGTCCCATCACCCTCTTCCCAAGCTGACTTCGCACGGTTTACAGCAGGAGAATGGACGCGTGGGAGCTCCATATCGATTGGCAGGCCTGATGTGTGTTTGTTGTTCTGACAGGAGCAGGTCATCCTCTACGTGACCCTCCCACGTCAGCCTTTACTTTCCCAGGCATAACAAGTATAATAGTCATTTTGAAGCTTTAGATTTTATTTATTTTGACATGTAGAATATTGTTGGAAATGTGGCATCATGTAATTGGGGTATTCAAAGGTAATTTTTTTTTTTTTTTTTTTTGACATAATAGAATATTTTAGACCCGTGACATCATGTAAGTGGGTCATTTAAAGGCCTAATTAAAAACTTGGATCCCAAAAAATGGTTAGAAGTGATTGGTTAGTGGATATGTGTCAGGATGTGATTGGTTTAGTTAATTTACGCACATTCTACGAACCGTTGCCTCTACAAGTTTCCATTTCATTTCCATCCTTTCATCTTCTTTCGTTACAAGACCCATCTCTCTAAACCGTTTGTTTCAGTTTTGGCTCAGAAAGATAGTGCTTCATCATGTCTTGGCGGCTGTGGGTATTATTACATTAAGCTTTTAATCCAATATAAATATTTTGTTTTTCTACTCATGACTCTTCTGTTTTACGTTTATGGGTTTTGGGTTAACGGCAAGAGAAAGAGAGTTGAAGTAGAGTCCGTGAAAATTTCAGGTAATGTTTGTTATTTATATTTATTTAGTTAAATATTCAGTTGTTACTAAGTTTTTTGAATGAAAAGAAAACCGGCAAAGCTCTGCCGACTTCATTTCGTATAGAGATATATTCTCCTCATTTTTGTATGATTTTGTTTATCTTGATAATCAATTGGAAGCAGAAAGTTCGAAGGCTGCGCTTTTCTTCCTAAAGATGTAATTAAAATCACCGCGATTGGTATGCTGTTTTTTCTTTTCTTTTCTTCTTTTTTTTACTTTTTACCTGTCCATCCATTTATTATGCAGGTTAGAAGGGGTGTCGGTGTCTCTGATGAGGAGATTTTGGGCTTTGCTAAGTTGTGTAATGATGAACTTACTTTGGATAATATCAGCAGGTCGGCTTCTATTTCCTTTAGTTTGCCATTTCAATTCAATGTATCTGAATATCAAGTTAACTTTATTTTTCTGTGCTTGCTGGGAGAGATTGCTTGACGAATTTTTTATTTTATTTCTGCTTTATTTCACTCTTCTCAGGCCTCGATTGGTGAATATGTGCAAATATATGGGCATCAGTCCTCTTGGAACAGATGCATATTTGCTTTTTATGCTCCGGAAAAGACTACAGTGGTTAGATACTTCTAATTTATTCTATGGATTTGCTTTCTATCATCTTTTAGTTTACGAAACGAAGGCTCAAATGAAATGGTTGGATTGGCTTAGCAGTTAGCACTACTTGGAGAAAGTTATACAAGTAATTTGTACCATAAGTTGTCAGGCTTTCTGTGTTAAAATGGGTAGGGGTGTTCAAAAGAACCGGTTGGAACCGAAATCGGCGGGTACCCTAGGTTTGGTTCTGGTTCCTACCCAGAACCAATCATCAATGGGTAGGTTTCGGTTCCAAATTTTTGGAACCGTTATTGTACGGTTTCAGTTCCAGTTCCTATAGTTAGGAACCGGAACCAGAACCAGAAACCGAGACTAATATAAAATAAAATTAAAGATTAGGTGGGTTAATAAAAACTTTTGTAGAAAAAGTAATGTGAATACATTTATATTTATATTTCATAACATTTAAAGTAAGTTGGTTTGACTTTTGAGAATCTACCTTTACAAAATAATGGAGTTTGTAATTTGTAATTTTATTTTTGTTAACAAGTGCCAGGTGGGGGGGTATTTGTAAGTTTTTAAGGGTTTTTTACGATTTTAAAAACTTTTGGGAGGTCATGTAATTTTACAGGATACCTAGAACCGGAACCGTTGTTACAGGTTCTGGTTCTGGGTACCTAAGAATCGGAACCGTCGGTTCCGGTTCCGGTTCCAAATTTCAAGGAACCGTCGGTTCTGGTTCTGGTTCCGGTTCCTTAAAAAAGTGTAGGATACACGGAATCGAACACTCCTAAAAATAGGCTCTTTACTTTGTATGACATTTATAGTTAAAATAGGTTCTGTGAGTATAACATCTAGAACCCTCCAAATTTTTATAATATTAGCGTAATTAGCTAACAAGTCAATTTTACAGGAGAAGAAAGAAGACTTTCTGTCAAGGTTTTTGGAACTCAAAGAGACCGATCCAAAATACTTAAAAGGGGCGTTTGGTTAGGGGTTAAGTGAGATTACTGGGGTAATGTCATCTTATATTACTTGATTACCATGTTTGGTTGTCAAGTAATATAAGATACCGGTAATCTTCAAATACCAATAGTGGTTACTATTGGTAATATTAGAGGTAATCTGATTACCTCCATTTTCTTAGGTATTCTGAGATTATCAGGATTATCTTTTTTTGTTACAATTTTATCCCTTATTAATAAAAAATTTGGACAATAATACCACTACTTTAAAACAAATTTACATTAATATCCTATTTCAAATTTACCCCTGTTTAATTAAAATTTTGGACAATAATGCCCTTATATTTAAAATCATTTACAGACCACCACTGTCACCCAGCCACCACCGCCAACAGCGGGCCAACCACCACGGATCACCGTCGGGAAATCGCCGGAGTCCCTAAAAAAGAAAGAAATTCAGTGGGAGGCTTCGATATGGCCGTTTTCGGCCATATCAGGCCAGATCTGGCCGTTAACGGCCAGATCCCTGGCCATTAACGGCTAGGTTTGGGCCAAATCTGGTCGGAATAGATCTGGCCATTAACGGCCAGATCTGGCCGCTAATGGCCAGGGATCTGGCCCGATATGGCCGTTTTCGGCCATCAATATGGCTAGAAACAGCCATATCGGAGTGTCTTGGTCATGGTGACGTACTCATGGGGACTTTTGGAGACATCCGGCGGTGGTTCGCGGTGGCGGCAGGCTGCGGCAGGAGGTGGGGGTGATTTCGTCATAAATTAAAGTTTTATATAAGTAGTAGGGGTGAGCGGTTCCGGGTACCCTCCATTTTCTGGGGGAATCGGAACCGGAACCGCACAGTGCAGGTTCCCAAAAAAAGTAATCGGAACTGGAACCGGAACAGCATAGTGCAGGTTCTTCAATTCAGGGAACCGGAACCTAAAATACAGGTTTCAGTTCCTTTCCCGGGCACCCTGTAAAAAATCAATTACCCCCCTATTAGTTTAAAAAATGACAAAAATACCTTAAAAGTTTACAAATACACCCCTAACAAATATACTATTTGGGTTTAGGGTTTAATTATAATGTAATATTATAACTAATTAAATTGTTAATCATTTAATTAAGTATTGTGATATTGTTTATAATAGAATGTTATAATTAATTTAGTAATCATACCATCAATTTATAATGTAATGTTATAATTAATAAAATTCTAATCATTTAATTAAGTATTGTGTAAATTAGTAAATTACTAATGTTTATAATATAATGTCATAATCAATTAAGTAATCATTTAATTATGTAATGTTATAATTAATTATGTGATCATACTATAATGTAATGTTATAGTGAATTAAGTAATCAGATTATAGATCTTTAATGTTATATTATAATTAATTAAAATTTTAATAATTTAATTAAGTAATGTAATAAATAATAATGTAGTAAATTACTAATGTTTATAATGTGATGTTATAAATTTAAAACTAATTAAGTAATCATTTAACTATGTAATACTATAATTAATTAAGTGATCATAATATAATGTAACGTAATAATGTTATAATTTAACTAAGTAATTATTTAACTATAATGTAATATTTAATTAATTAAATTTCTAATCATTTAATTAAATAATAATTTGTTTATAATGTAATGTTATAATTAATGTTTATAATATAATGTTATAATCAATTAAATAATCATCTAATTATGTAATGTTATAATTAATTATGTAATAACTAATCATACTATAATGAAATGGTGAAATGTTACAATGAATTAAGTAATCATACTATAAGTCTTTAATATAATATTATAATTAATTTGTTTATAATAGAATATTATAATTAATTAAGTAATCATTTAATTATAATGTAATGTTACAATTAATTACATAATCGTACTATAAATTTATAATGTAATGTTGTAATTAATTAAATTTCTAATCATTTAATTAAATATTATGCTAATGTTTATGTAGTAAAT